TAAAATCTTAAAAAAAAAATTTTTATTTATTTACTTGAGAGAGAGAGCACGAGCAGGAGGAGGGGCAGAGGGAGAAGCAGACTCCCTGCTGAGCAGGGTGCTTGACTCGGGGCTCGACTCAGGGCTCGATCCCGGGACTCCAGGATCATGACCTGAGCTGAAGGCAGACACTTAACTGGCTGAGCCACCCAGGCGCCCCCATTGGGTACAGAATTTTGAATTGACAGCTTTCTTTCAGCACTTTAAGTGTGATTCCAGTTCCTCTGGCTTCCATAGTTCTGATGAGAAGTCTGCAGTAATCTGAGTCATTGCTCCCTTATATGAAATCAGTTGTTTCTCTCTAGATGTTCTTGGATATTTTTCTATGTCTTTTATTTTCAGCAATTTGATTATTATATCTGGTCATAGACTTGAGTATATTCTGTTTGCTCTTCACCAAGCTTCTTGAATCTGTGTTTGTCTTTTGCCAAATTTGGGACCATTTTCGCCATGATTACTTCCAATAATTTTTCTATTTCATACTCACCTTCTGGGACTCTGTTGACACAAATGTTAGCTCTCTTGGTCTTGTCCGACAGGTCCCTGGGATTCTGTTTTATCTTTTTTATTTTAGATTGCATAATTTATATTGACTATCCTCAAAGTCACTCCTCTGTCATCTCCATTCTGCTATCCAGTGAATATTTTATTTTGGCTACCTCTACTTTTCAGTTCTAAAATTTCCACTTGACTTTTCCTTAGGTCTTCTATTTCTTTTCTTAACCTATCTTACCATTTGTTTCAAAAGCATTCTCCCCTTCTTCTTCCAGTATGGTTATACTAACTGCTTTGAAGTCTTTGCTTTAAATTCCAATTCCAACATTTCTGTCATGTTGGGGTTGGTTGTCTTTTCCCTGGAGAGTTCTTTGTATGCTGGGCAATTTCAGATTGTATCCTGGATATTTTGAATATTGTTTGAGACTCTGGATCTTATTAAAACCCTAATGGGAATGTTTTTTGTTTTAGTGGGTGATTGACCAGGTTTGGTTCAGGCAGCAACCTACCTTCTTTGGATTGTGGTTTCAACATCAGTTTAATTTTCAGTTTGTGGTGCTATCTACATCAGTCTCATATGTGTGCTACCCAGTGGTCAGTCAGACCTGGACAGTGGTCCACCCTGTAGCTCAATTCATAAAGCTTTGGTAAGATATTTAAGGTCAGATCCATGTGCAGCTTTGAGGTGAGCCCAGGAGTTCACACACAATTCTATGGGACTCTCGATTTCCCTGCTCTCTCTGATCTCCCTGACACTTTGATTCTCTGGGTCTTCGTTTCCCAATCCTCTGCCCCCCCCCAAAAAAAAGGCGGGGGGGGGGCTTTAGTTTCTCTACTCTGCTGAGCATTTTCCACTATGTACCTGGGCTAAGCATCAAGAGAACAAAGGGAAAAAGCAGATTTGCCTCGCACTCTTGAGACCACAGCTCCCATGCTAGAGGAATTCTCCTCCGTCAGTTTTCAGTGCCTGCCCACTGTTGCTGTCATTATGCTTCTGTAGCTACCCCGCCATGGTACTGCCTGGGGTTAGAGGTGGAAGAGAAGGAAAAAAGAAAAACAGGAGATTCCCCTATTCTCTGACCCTTAGGAGTCCCTTTCCGGCTCCTCAGACCTACAATAGATGGCTCCAAGAGGAGCTCTTTCAGTTCACACCTGATGCACACTTCTGGGTTTGGGGTCACCTTTGAGTCCACTCTGGGCAGTAATGGGGGGGATGGCAAACTCACCACTGGTTTCATGGAACTTCAAATTCTGGTTTCTTTCTCCCTGTTACCATTTACTTCTCTGAGATCTCAGATAGTTGCCCCATGCATTCTGTCCAGGAGCACTGGGAATGACGGGGGTGGGGTATGCCTACTCCACTTATGGTGTGGTCCCGAGCAAGTTATGTAACTTGTAACCTCTCTGTACCTCTCCTGTCACATTTAGAAGAGGATAATAGTGGTATCAACCTCAGAAGGTGGTTGTGTGGATTAAATGAGTTTATATATATGTAAAGCACTTAGAATAATGCTTGACTGTAGTAAGCACTTAATATTAAAGTATCATAAAAAGATTGGATGACAGAGATTGGCAAAAAGACAAAAATCACCCAGAACTCCAATGTCAAGAGGTCTGACATACACATTATGGTTATATTATTTCAGATTTTTCAGTCAAGATGTATTTACCAATTCATTGAATAGACAAATGAACATTTAAGTATAGAATTGTATTCCCTGCCCCATTCCCCAAATTATGCTTTCTTATTAGGGGAGAGGCAGTAGGTCACAGGATGAAACTTTCTGCCACTAGATGTTCATCACACTATTCTTTCTACCCAAAATGCTCATCCTCCCTCCCTTTGTTAGGCTAACTGCCACTTGGGCTTCTAGTTTCAGTTGAAAGGTCACATCCTTGAAGGCGGCTTTCCTGACCCCAGGTAAAATGTAGATCCCTATGTTAAGTGCTTTCATGTCACCCTATACTTCTTAGCACTTATCACACTTTTAATTACTTAACCATATACTTAAGAACCTCAAAGGACAAGTCCTCTCTCTTGTCCTGTACTCAGAGTTTCACCTTTGCACATCCTTCTCTTCCAGATGGCGACCCTGGGCCTCCGCACCTGTCCTCCAAGGCCCTGCAGTAAGAAGCCTCCTCAGCTGGTCCAAGTTGGCACTAATCTGGGCAAGTCTGCTTATATAAATGGGACTTTTCAGCTCAGAGCTGAGTCAATGAGGACAGTGAAGGCATATTTCTGGTCCACATCCTGGAGATTCTTATTCAGTAGGAACCGGGGCGGGGGGAGAGGGTCCAGGAATATGCATTTTCAAAAGTTCCCCTGATGTTTCGGGTGCTGGTGGCCCACAGAAACACTGCCTGTGGTAGAAAACTTCCAATATGGCTTCCAACAACCCCTGCCTTCTGACAGTCACTAGGCTGGACCTGGTGACTGGTAAAAGTGATGGGATACTTCTTCTGTGATTAAGTTACAAGACTGATTCTGCTTTCCTGATACGGTCTCTCTGGCTCTTGCTCTGATGGAGAGGGCTACCTGGGCTGCCTCTGACCAACAGCCAGCCCAGAAATGAGGTCCTTGGTCCAGCCACCTATGAGGTAGTGAATCCTGCTGATACACTGAAGGAGGTCCTTCCCATTGGAACCTTGAGATGACATGGCTCCAGCTAACTCTTTGATTGCAGCCTTGTGAGAGACCCTGAGGCAGAAAAGTGTGCCCACGTTCCTGAACCACAGAAACTGAGATAATAAATGTGTGTTGTTTTTAAGCCACTAAATTTTAGGGTAATTTGTTACACCATATTAGATAACTAATACATTGCCTAGACTGCCCAAAGCTCCCTTCTACCCATCCATGTTGGAAAACACACCTCAACAGAGAATTTCCCATCTCTCTTCAACAGGATTTCATGAATACTGACTGCAGACATTGTCTTTGCTCTTGTTGTGCATAAAGATTTACACCAGCCCAGTCGCTGATTTTAGCCTCAGACACTTTGGCTTAGTCTTTTAATTAAGTGTCACTGGTTTCATGGGCATGAACTCTGAATTCTCATAAAGGCAAGTCCTCTTCCTCCTCCCCTTACCATCGTGGTCCCACCCTAAGACCACTTAAGCCTGCTGTACATCAGGGGGTCGGCGTGTGAGAGTGTGCCAGTGGTGGTAAGATTCTTGGTCGGAAATATTCTGGTGCCCTGAGCTTGGTTATACATGCAATCTCTAAATCCTGAACCAAGTTTCAGGGTCAAAAAACTGAGCCCCAAAATCATCTGCTCCCCCTTCTTCATACCTTGGTAGCCAAGAGCCCCATCTTTCTAAGGCAAAGACAAATTGAATTTGCGTGTCCTCAGGGACATGTCAACAGGCCCCCTCCCCCTCTGGGTGTTAACCAGGCAGTCCCAGCTAAGCCCACACTTAGACTTTGGAGCCATCCACTGAAGGCTGGAACTAGAGAGCTCAGAGAAGTTATGGAGCCATTAGCTGGAACTAGCTTACAAGAAAACAGGATACTAAGTTCAACTGAAAAGCTGGGGCAGGGGCGGGGCAGGGGGGACAGGTTCCAAGTGCCAGGAATTAGCAACTTCTACACACTGGAAGGTGTGGGAGGAAGAAGGGGTTTATTGCAGAGGTAGAGACTGAGAACCAAGACAAAACAGGCTCATCGAGGACAAAGGTAACCAAGAAGCCAGAAGTGTCAACTCCCGAAGTAGGGCCCCAGTAAGTCTCCATGGCCCCTTAAAACAAGAGGCGCGCCCAGCCCATTTTTAATCAAAACCTCAGGATCCCACCCCACTTTCTAGTTCTATGACTGAGACCTTTAGCACCCGCAAAGAGTGGTCTGTGTTAAATCTCCACCTAGAGAAAAACACAATCTCTGGAGAGCAGCTCAGTCAACACTGGGGCCCTCAGGAGGCAACCGCTTCACGTGCAAGTGGGGGGGGCGGTCAACTGTCCCTTACACTAGAGCTCCCCAATTCTAAAGAGTACACAGTAGTGCACTACACTCTACCAAGGACACCAATCATCCCAGCACAGGAAGGTTTGCCTTGGACAGCGGACAGGAGCCTGCTGCTGCTTACTGCAGATCTCAGAGTTCTGTGAGGTTCTGATACAAAAACCGAAGGTTATTATCAACTCTTCCCCTTATAATTCTGTAAGAAGGAAGGCAACAGACTGAAGCCCAGCTCCTTGGGAGGAGGGCCAGCAACAGTCATTTTGCATGTCCAGGGTTCTGCACATGTTGGTGCCCAGGAAGTATCTGCTCCTTCTGAATGAGTGCTGGGATACTGAGCAATTTGTCCAAAGTCACATGACTCAAGATCTAGGTCTCTTGGCTCCTAGGCCAGGACTCAGCACCTAGTATCTGATTCTCTTCTTTTTCCAGCACTTTGCTTTAGAGTGGACGGACAATGAGCCTTCTTCCCATCCACACATATCAAAGACAGAAGATACCCATTTCCGGGCATGTTTGTAGATAGACTTCTCATAAATTTATTTTGGTTTCATGTTATATATAGATATATGTATATATGTTTTTTTTTTAATACAATCTATATATCCCCTTCCCTTCCCCACCAAACTCACAAAAGGAAGTATAAATCCTTCCCGGATTGCCATCAGGCTTTCCAAGATAGCCAGGGGTAAGAAAGAGCCATCTCTCAACATCTCAAGAGACAGCTGCCCTTCTTCGGCTCTGGGGTCATTGAAGCAGCAGCATCCCCAGGACCCAAGAGGAGGAGAGAGGAAAGGAAACAACTCTGGTGTGACAGGATTCTAGGATGAAAGTGTCCAGTGACTCCTAGAACGGCAGACTGGCTCCCACAATTCTCCGGGTGGGAACCAAGGTGGAAGGCCTATGGCTCTTCAGATGCTGCCCAGATAGGCTGGGGGTAAGCAGTACAAATCGGGGAGTAGGCATGCAGGGGCGGGGTGGTCCGAGAAGAAACACACGTGGGTTAAGCTGGAGAAGCAGCAGCCCACCCCCCACTCCATGACGTATAATAAACAGGGATAGACACTGGCCGCCCCCCCCCCCCACTTTAAAGAAACAGGGAGAGAGCACGGCAGGGAGGGGGAGGGAGACAATGGGACACATAATAAAGTCACATAAAGCAAAAGTACCAACAAAAACATGACTTGTACTTGCCTCCTCCCTAGAGAAGGTGTGATCTACGCTTGGGGGTCGGGAGAGAAGAGGCAGGTTAAGGGTCATGAACCTAGGATTATCAGCTGACCAGGGGCACAGGAAGGCTCTCGGAGGACTCCTAAAGGACAGGCAGGAAGCTCGGACCCCGCATCCCCAGGGAAGAAACGACAGTCCCTTCAGTTAGACTTGGACCAAATCTTGGCGCTCCCTCGGAGCCTGGCAAGGGGAAGAGAGAGAGAGAGAGAGAGAGGCTGCAGGGAATCCCCTCACCCCTGTGGGCTCCCCCCACTGTCTACCCCCATGCAAATGACTACAGGGGGTGAGGACAGCCAGGTCTCTGAAGTAAAAGCAGGACACCCCGAAAGCAAGCGGTCCCCGCCACAGCGGCTCACCCCTTGCCCTTTGAGGCTTTCTTGCTGGGCTGGCGCTGGTTGGTGCCAGGGGCGGGTTCCCTCAGCTCAGTCAGGTGCTGCTCAGGGTCCTGAGATGTAGCTGCGGCGGCCGCTGCTGTTGTAACTTTAATGGTTTTTTTAAGGTTGGCGACCTACCCGGATGAAAGAAATGGGGGATAGTAAGGAAAGTCCCAGAATCGGACCGTCTCTGCCTACCGCGTCTGTCTGCTACAGCCACGGTCCCAACCCGTCCGCACAGGACAACTGGCCCAGGAGGCGGGAGCTTGGGCCCGTCCCGATCTCTCGCCCGCTCACCTCACTCTCGATCTGCTGCTTCAGGCCCAGCTGCTGCTCCTTGTGCTGGTTGGCGCGGCTCACCTGCTCCTCGATGCCTGACAGCACCACCTCACAGCCCACACACCTGCGGGAATCAGGAGAGGAGACGCGTCAGCAGGAGGAGGCTGTGAGCACACGCTCACGAAAAACAGACTCAGAACAGCCTGCACACAAACCCCCCGTCTGAGTTAGGAACCTTCGCCAGGGCGCCTGGAAACCACGTGCGACAGCAGTCCCAGGAGCCACAAAGACACTCGGGGTGGGGTGGGGGGGAGACAAGAGAGGTGAAGTGCCTGGAGTAACGTGCAACATGCGAGAGGAGGAACTACAAACGGCACCGGGTAGACGCTGGAGAGAGGGGGAAAAAGGTATATTGAATTCAGACAAGAACACAAAGAGAAAAACGGAAGTGGGAGAGACCCATGGCCTACAGACAGTGCTGCTTACAAGACGGATGGGATGAACCCCGCTTAAGACAAGTGAGGATCCAACACCCCGGTGAGGAGCCTCTCAAGAGTACTGCTCTCCCCCTCCCCCAAGGACTATGCCAAGGACACTGCTTCTGGCCTCTCACCCCGCAGGCCCTCCTCTGCTCCCTTCTGCCCTCAGAAGCTTTTGGAGGAATGAGCTCCTCTCCCTTCATCCTCTGGGATTCCACCTCTGCAGCCCAGCCCAGCCCTCCCCTCCCAAGCGCCTCCCCCTTTCCCGGAGTGAGGAGAGAAGGAACAGGGCCGGGGCACCCGTCTCACCACTCCTGCAGGGTTCGAGCAATGGCACTGAGGTCCTGCCGCTGGATGTCCCGCCCAATGCTGTAGTCAACCTCCAGCCGCTGATTGCGCTGGTCCAGGGAGCCGCGGAGCACGTCGGCGTACACAGCCTCTATGACAAGGTCTTCCAGCTGCCGCACGTTCCGCAGGGCAAGGGCCTCCAGCAACACTGCATATGGGATACACTGGGGTGCAGGGAGGTCGGGCGGGGATCTGTGAGGCTCTGCAGCACAAAAGCGCCTCCAAGATTCTTCCCTCCTTCCCCCCAGCCTCAGCTCCCCTGCCTACTCTCCACTCCTACTCCTCCTAAAGGATTTCCTCTAAAAGGCTGGTTCTAAGGCAAAATAAGTGAAAGTATCGCCCCCTGAAAAATAACATCCCGAGAAGGACAACTGCAAATAAGATAGAAGACTTACGTTCCCCTACCACCCTTGACCTCCCACCCCACAGGGAAAGAAAGTGACAACTGTCTGGCTGTCAGTCCTCTGGCCATAGCTCAGGACAGCACACAGACCTTGGTCCAGATAAGCCTGACGTAGCAGGAACTGGTGGGGGAGGGCTCGGAGTTACTATTTATCGTTTATCCCCACTTCCTTCCACAGAGGCACCTCATGACAGAGAGCCTGGTTTAGGTAAAATCATGAGGACTACAGGAGAGTCAAGTAACAGCTGAGAGAATGTAGATGGGTGGGAGAGGGATATCTAATAAAAAAACTGAACCTAACTGGAACTACAGAGATACTTCTGGGTTATACACTTTTGACTTTAGCAAATAGAAGCCTAGCACTTTGCCAGAAGAGAGAGAGCCTTATTCCCAGATCTGAAAATTGAGACTGAGTGGGACTTTTTCTTTTTTTTTAAGATTTTTATTTATTTATTTGAGAGAGAGAGCGTGCACACGTGAGCATGAGTGGGCACAAGCTGGTGGCGGGGGGGGGGGCGTGTAGAGGCAGAGGGAGAAGCAGACTCCACGCTGAGCAGGGAGCCCGATGCAGGGCTCGATCCCAGGATCCCGGAACCATGACCTGAGCCAAAGGCAGACCCTTAACTGACTGAGCCACTCAGGCGCCCCTGTGTGGGACTTTCTTTAGTGAGGAGGAAGGTGATTGCTAAACAAGTGAATGGCTCCCTGGTTGCTATTTTGACCCAAGATGCAAAAAATGTTGAATGAAAAACAAAAACAAAACAGAAAACTAAGAATAATACTCAGCCCGAAAGGCTGCAGGTAGTGGATTTCAGATACAGACTTTGGAGGGGCGTGGTGGGGTGGGGAAGGCAGAAGAGCAACACTGCGGGCAAAGGCTGTCTGACTGCAAATTCCCTTCAGACAGGCTCTTCGAAGGGACATTCCCCTTTGGCTCAGGACTGGGCGCAGGGGGGGACTGTCACTCACCTTGACTTTGGCAGCCAGGGTGACAACTGATAGGTGTCGAAGCTTATTCTTCTGAGCCTCTGTGAGTGGGGGAAGATTGCGGGCTTCAGCTAGGAGAAAAGGACAAAGCGTAGGAAATCCTGATTACACTTTTGTGGGAAGTCCTAGCCTCCTTCCCTTGCTACTGCTGCTGCTTTTTTTGTTTTAGTTTTCCATGCCAATTCAGGTCTTGACCCTGACCCTGTGTACCCCAGAAGGGTTTCCTAGGATTTTTTTTTTTTTTAAGATTTTATTTATTTGACAGAGAGAGACACAGCGAGAGCAGGAACACAAGCACCAGAGGAAAGTAAGAGATTTACTTGTCTACTGCGGGGCTCGATCCCAGGACCCTGGGATCATGACCTGAGCCAAAGGCAGACGCTTAACGACTGAGCCACCCAGGCGCCCCCCTAGGATTTCTTCTAGTACTTCCAGAAACTGCCCTTCTCCCACCTCCACTACTCCAGAGCTCCAGCCCTCTGGTTACCTAGGTAATCAGCATATGTCCCGTAAGCAAACACTGTGAGCAGCCGGAACGTGGAAGCGAAGTCACTCTCAGCCAGCTGCAAGAATATGAAGGAAGACGTGACAGGACGGGCCTCTCTCCAGCTTCCCAGCCTCACTCCATTTTGAATTCCACTTTCTGGCCCCATCTTTCCCCTCTCCCATCTGCTCTCCCAGCTCACCGAAAGGACCACTCTGCCTCTCTGATCACTCTCCCCACTGAAAGGCCTGATTTCCACCTCCAGGCCCTTATTTACACTACCCTCCTCCCCCCCCAATCCACCATGCCCTCTTCCTCCATACGTCTTCATTCTTACCCTAAATTCAGAATTGAACACATTCAGAGTGTTCAGTAGAGTGTGTGGGCATGTGCACACCCAGACACTGCAAATTGTGTTTTGGTCCTTAGAGTGTATTTAGTATTTCTGAATCTGAATATCATTAGGCAGTCTGCTGTCCTTGCCAATTCACCAAACACTCCTGCGTTAGCCTCACTCATCTCTGACAGCTGCACGGCCTCAGCAGGCGCTGGAATTTGTGGTCTCTGCATTAGACCTGTAGCACCCAAGAGGCTTCATCACCCAGATCTCATCTCCTATCACTGATCACTCATTCTGGCACTTAAATAGATGAAATCCTTAGGTTGTTACCCAAGAATATCTTTCTTTCCAATAAGATTACAGACCCAGGCCCTGGTATCCCACCCACTTAGGTCTAGCAAAGCTGGGCATGTATTCGGCTCTCAATAAATACTTGCTAAGTAAGTAATTTACACATCCATATCCATTCATCTTATCTCTGCAACTGAATATAAGTTTTGGAAGGGTATTAAGCACCGCGTCTTGTACTTTTCTGGTATTCCCAGATGACTAGCAGAGAGATAAATAAGCATCCAATAAATGCTTCGTTTCCTTCACCCTAATGGACCCTCTTTAGTTCCACTGTAGAGGAAAGCAGGGAAAAGAAGGCAGCCAGAGTGTTCTCCAAATACCACAGAGTGATCCCAAAGGCTAAATCCATTGACTCAATCACTGGCCCTCAAAAATTTACCATAGTTTGCCCACATACCAATGCCATAGCATCTCAGGACTTGGGCTTATGTCATACATCTTGGTGATTCACCCACTCTACACTTTAAACTCTTTACTCGGCCACTTTTTTTTTTTTTTTTTAAGATTTTATTTATTTATTTGACAGAGAGAGACACAGCGAGAGACACAGCGAGAGAGGGAGTGGGAGAGGAGAAGCAGGCTTCCCACATGGCAGGGAGTCCGATGCGGGGGCTCAATCCCAGGACCCTGGGATCATGACCTGAGCCGAAGGTTGATGCTTAACGACTGAGCCACCCAGGCGCCGCTTTACTCTGCCGCTTCTATGTGAACAGTTCTCTCTTCTGTGTTCCTAGCATCTTGCCACATGTCTTTGGGGGGAAGACACCTTCTAATACTTCTTGATTAAGTGAATTAACAAAGGGTACAAAGTGGGGAGAGGAAAGTATGCCAATTTCATGTTCGTTCTTTCCATTTGTACTGGACTTTACACTTCCCATAATCTGACCTGATTTCTATAATTGAGGGTGAGGGGCAGTATCAGCTCTGATTTTAAAAGAGAAAAACAGAGGTCCTAAAGTAAAAGTGACCTCATCAAGGTGACATGATTTTATTAAGAGCTACTACCTTGGCGGAGACAGGCTGGAATATCAGGTCTCCTTTTCTGAATCACATGCTCCTTTGTTTAAAAAATGAAAAATAGTGGGTTTTACAGATGATTCATCACCAGAGGAAAGTAAGAGATTTACTTGTCTACTTATTTTTGCGGCTGTTAATTAATCATCATCGTATTCTTGTTCAGCTGAATGGTTATGGAGTTGCAAATGAGCCCTGCCCACCCATTCTCAAATTCAAACTTAGCCCCAAGCTTCCCTGTGGGCTCTCCAGGCCAGGAACCCACCTCTCTAACATTAGGCATATCCAGCAGTTCCCCAAACACGTAGACCCCAGGAGCCTCCAGCACCTGGTGGATGAGTGTGGCCAGCGCTGCCCCCTTGGCCGACTTGGCCAGGAGCAGAAATTGCTCCTGGTTCTGCCCTGTCACCTTCACCTCGGCACTCATGGCTGCACTGAGCTGGGGGTACCTGGGCTCAGGATATCTGGAGCTGCAAGGAAAGAGAATGTGAAGCTGGAGGTCCCTGAACACTGGGGGGGGGGGGGCGGGAAGCACAGGGAGGCTGGATTGCAGAGGCACTGAGTCACTTCTGCAAATGAGGAATGAGAGATGGAGCAGTCTAAAACTCGGATCTAGAAATCCTAAAATCGGCCACTTTGATGGAAGCCTGGCTGAGACAGGGTTGCCACGCCCCCTCCCCCCATCCCCGGGCCTGATCCCAAGCCCCACCACGTGCACCCCATTGAACCCCAAGGCACAGGATGTAGTGGGGGAAGGGGTGTCACATGGTGTCCACCCCAACAACAGCGCTCCCTCAAATTTCCGTGGTGCCCCGCAAGTGCCCTCAACCACGTGACCTCACCCTCACGATCCTTCCACGTGGCTCCGCCCCCTCCCTTAAAGAGGCCGCCCAGGGACCGTGGGCTCACGGCGACTGCCCCGTCGTACCCTGGGTCAGGCTCTGCGGGCCGCTACCTGGAAGCTTCGTCTTCCAGCACACCGGGCGGGGCCGCCGCTCCGTCACCTCCGGCAGCTGTTCTAGCCTTTCCTGCCACCTCCCTGCAGAGTCGCTCTGGCCGCTAAACTCTATGGCTGGCTTCCGGCTCGTACTTCCGCTCTTACGAGGCCTGTTTAGGGCGGGTCATGCCCCTCCCCCGCCTTCCGATGGCTGAAGCGCCTGCAAGCGCCCGTCATTCTACTCTCTGATTGGCTGTTGGGGAAGAATGACGGGCGCCTTTTTTTTTTTCTGCTCTGTTTCAATAAAACTTTATTGACAGATAAGCCCTGGAAGGTAAATGCAGAGGGAGCACCTGTCCTGCAGGTACCGGGTGGTTAGGTGTCGGCTCAGAGCTGCCCAAAATCTGGAGATCCGGGCTGCACAGGGTGCCTGAGGAGACAGGAAAGCTGTAATGGGAAAGAGAGAGGGAGGAGGGAAAAAGGGGGAAAGAAATGAGGAGAGATAGGAAAGAGACAAGAATCAATCATAGAAGTTTAGCTTCAGGGATCTCCGGGCTATTTTAACCACTACTTTTTTTGAGGAGCAAGAAGAAAGAAGTAGAAAAAGTAAAGGAAGTAATAATAGGTACCATGTATTGAGTGCTTACTGTTGGTCAGGCATCTTTTGAAATTGTATCCCACTGAATCCTCATAACTGTACTGCGTCCCCAGTGTGACTCCAGGACACGGTTTATCATGACTACGTAATACTTGTAGAGCGAGGCTTTCCTGTATATTGAGTCTCTTAATTCCTGGGAGACCAAAAATCCCTAGGTGTAAGGAAGGCATCTGTTATTATTTTCATTTCAGAAATAAAGAAATTGATGCTTATAAAAATTTAGAGATTTCACTGGAACTCAGGTCTCTTCAAGCCCCAAGCCAGCTTTCCATGTTACCATGATACTTTAGGGAAAATAGTAAACGACTAACATTTCTATAGTGTTTTACACCTCATACTGGGCTGGCAGAAGGTCAAATAAGAATAAAGTTAATGACATCTTGGAGGTCGTTGGGTTAGGCGCTGAATGAAGAGGTTTACTTAACTCATTTGATGCTTATAACAATCTGTTATTGTTTCTATTTTCCAGATGGAAAAACTGAGGCCTAGGGAAATTAAGTAATTTATAAGCAATGGAAAGAGGAGAAAGTGAGAAAAAAAGAGAACATAAATGAAGAGACTATCACAGGACTGGTAGATTGCTGGAGTGGAAGGGACTTTAAACTCAAAGTTTATCGTCCACATGGCTTGGTTTATGGTAGCAAATGAGAAGCAAAAACAGAAAGGAGATGTTGGGGGGAGAAGGAGGAAAAAAAAGGAAGAGGCAGAGAAAAAGTAAAGAAGAAGAAAATAATGGAAGAGAGGATACATAAAAGTGAGGAGAAGGAATCAAAAGCATAATAAAACATCCAAAGTTTGAAAGAACCAAAGAATTAATGAGTCCAATCTTATCAATTTAAAGAGGGAAGAAAAAGAAAAACATGAGGAACAAACCAGAGTCCACATATGTTCTATTATGTGCCATGTCGTTATCTGTTCAACTTTTCTTTAAGACTTTATTTAAGAGCAGTTTTAGGTTTACAATAATATTGACAGCAAGGTACAAAGATTTCTCATAATAATTCCTGCTCCTACACATACACAATCTCCCCATTAACAACATCACTCACCAGAACGGTACTTTTTTTTTTTTTAACCAAGGATGAACCTATATTGACCACATCATAATCACCCAAAGTCCATAGTTTATCTAAAGGTACAGTCTTGGTGGTGTACATTCAATGGCTTGGATAATGTATAATGACATATATCCATCATTATAATATCATACAGAGTATTTTCACTACCCAGAAATCTCTGTGCCCTACCTGTACATCTCCCCCCACCCCTGACCCCTTATAACTACTGATCTTTTTTCATTGTCTCCACAGTTTTGCCTTTTCCAGAATGTCATAGAGTGGAAATCATACCGTATGTGGCCTTTTCATATTGGCTTTTTTTTACTTTAAAATTCCTCCATGTCTTTTCATGGCTTAATAGCTCATTTCTTTTTAGCACCACTAGTCTTCCATTGTCTGGATGTACCACAGTTTATTTATCTATTCACCTACTGAAGGACATCTTGGTTACTTCCAAGTTTTGGCAATTATGAATAAAGCTGCTATAAACATTCATGTGCAGGGTTTTGGATAGACAAAACTTTTGACTCCTTTGGGTAAACATCAAGGCGCATGATCGCTGGATCATATGGTAAGAGTATGTTTCTTTTTTTAAAATATTTATTTATTTATTTATTTGAGAGAGAGAGAGTGTGTGCACAAGAAGGGGGAGTGGCAGGCAGAGAGAGAAGCAGGCTCACCGCTGAGCTGGGAGACCGATGTGGGGCTTGATCCCAGGCCCTGGGATCATGACCCGAGCAGAAGGCAGACACTTAACCAACTGAGCCATCCAGGTGCCCCAGAGTATGTTTCGTTTTGTAAGAAACCACCAAACTGTCTTCCAAAGTGGCTGTACTCATCAGCAATGTATGAATGTTTCTTTTTGTTTGTTTGCTTGCTTTTTTGTTTGTTAGGGAGAGAGAAGGCGCGAGCATGAGCAGGGAGGGGAGGGGCAGGGGGAGAGGGAGAGAGAGAATCCCAAGTAGGCTCCATGCTCAGTGTGGAGATGGACTCCGCCAGATCCCACAACTCTGAGATCATGACCTGAACCAAAATCAAGAGTCGGATGCTTAACTGACTGAGCCACCCAGGTGCCCCTGAAGGTTTCTATTGCTCCACATCCTGGCCAGCTTTTAGTATTGTCAGTGTTCCAGATTTTGACCATTCTACTAGGTGTGTAGTGTTATCTCACTGTTGTTTTCATTTGCATTTCCCTGATGACATATGATGTGGAACATCTGTTCATATGCTTGCTTGCCATCTGTGTCTTTGGTAGAGTATCTGTTAAGGTCTTTGACCCATATTTTAATTGGGTTGTTTGTTTTATTTTTTGAGTTTTAAGACTTCTTTGTATATTTTGGATAAAAGTCCTTTATCAAATGTGTCTTTTGCAAATATTATCTTCCAGTCTGTGGATCGTCTTCTAATTCTCTTCTTCTAATTGTTCTATTGCAGAGCAGAAGTTTTTTATATTAATTAAGTCCAGATTGTCAACTATTTCTTTAAGAGAGTGTGTCTTTGGTGTTGTAGCTAAAAGGCATTACCATACTCAAGGTCATCTAGGTTTTTTCCTATGCTATCTCCCAAGAGTTTTATAGTTTTGCATTTTACATTAGATCTGTGATCCATTTTGAGTTAAATTTTGTGAAGAGTATAAACTCTGTGTCTAAATTCATTTTCTTTCTTTCTTTCTTTCTTTCTTTCTTTCTTTCTTTCTTTCTTTCTTTCTTTCTTTTTCTCTCTTTCTTCCTGCATGTGAATGTACAGTTGTTCCAGCATCATTTGTTGAAAGATTGTCTTTTTTTGGGGGGGGGCGGGGTGAATCAAGCCATTTTATTGAGGGGCTTCAGAGAAAGGTTGAAGAGCTAGGAGGACAGTGGGATCTGACATCCTCAGCCAGGCCAGGATATCCCCAGCTTCACAGTCGCTGAAAGTGAAGAGATTATCTTTGATCCATCTTTTTACCTTTGTTCTTTTATCAAAAGTTACTTGACTATATATATGGGGGTCTATTTCTGGGCTCTTTATTCTGGTCCATTGATCTATTTGTCTGTTCTTTCACCAATACTCCACTGCCTATAGCTTTAGAGTAACTCTTGAAATCAGACAGTGTCACTCTTCCAACTTTGTTTTTCCCCTTCAGTACCGTATGAGCTATTCTGGGCCTTTTGCCTCTCCATATACAATTTAGAATCCGTTTGTTAATATCCATGAAATAACATGCTGGGATTGGGATTGCATTGAATCTATAGGTCAAGTTGGGAAGAACTGATATCTTGATAATATTGAGTCTTCCTAGCCATACACATGGATTATCTCTCCATTTATTTCATTCTCCTTTGATTTTGTTCATCAGAATTTTATAGTTTTTCTCATATAGATCTTATGTGTATTTTGTTAGATTTATACCTAAATATTTCACATTTGGGGGGTGCTAATGTAAATGTTATGTTTTAAATTTCAAATTCCCCTTGTTCATTGTTGGTATATAGAAAAGCAACTGACTTTTGGTTTTTTTGGTTTTCTGTTTTAAGATTTTATTTTTAAGCAATCTCTATGCCCAACTCGGGGCTTGAACTTACAAACCCCAAGATCAAGAACCACTTGCTACACCCAGTGAGCCAGCCAGGTGCCCCAAACCTTGCTATACTTGCTTGTTAATTCCAGGAGGGTTTTGTGGGTTTTTTTTGTCAATTCTTTCAGATTCCCTACATAAATGATTATGTCATCTGCAACCAAAGACAGATTGATGTCTTTGTTCCCAATCTGTATATGTTTTATTTCCTTTTTAAAAATTCTATTTTATTTAAATTCAATTAATTAACATATAATGTGTTAATAGTTTCAGAGTAGAGGTCAGTGATTCATGAGTTGTGTATAACACCCAGTGCTCATTATATCTCATGCCCTTCTTGATGCCTATCACCCACTTACCCCCTCCCCCAACCCCCTCCCCTCCAGCAACCCTCAGTTTGTTTCCTATGATTAAGAGTCTCTTGGGGCGCCTGGGTGGCTCAGTCATTAAGCGTCTGCCTTCGGCTCAGGTCATGGTCCCAGGGTCCTGGGATCGAGCTCCGCATCAGGCTTCCTGCTCAGCGGGAAGCCTGCTTCTCCTTCTCCCACTCCCCCTGCTTGTGTTCCTGCTCACTATATCTCTCTTTCAAATAAATAAATAAAAAATCTTAAAAAAAAAAAAAAGAGTCCCTTGGGGTGCCTGGGTGGCTTAGTCGTTAAGCGTCTGCGTCTGCATTCGGCTCAGGTCATAATCCCAGGGTCCTGGGATCAAGCCCCGCAGCATCGCACTCCCTGCCTAGCAGGAAGCCTGCTTCTCCCTCTCCCACTCCCCCTGCTTGTGTTCCCTCTCTCTGTGTGTCTCTGTCAAATAAATAAATGAAAAATCTTTAAAAAAAAAAAAAAGGAGTCTCTTATGGTTTGTTTCCCTCTCTGATTTCATTGTTTTATTTTTCCCTCCCTTCCCCTATGGTCCTCTGTT